TTCGAGAATTTCTGGCAATGTCCGCACTTAGAAACACAGTGCGACTCCCCTAAACAGACGAGGCAAAGCGAATGCCCGTCGGTGGGAGATATTTTAAGGCCGCAAGTCTTACACCGTTTGAAACAACCCCACCGCGGGGCCATAGGCCAGCGGAGGGGGAAACGTTAAAGACAAGGAACAAACACACCGAAGAAAAACTCTCACTACAAAAAACAAAATAAAGAAAAGGAAACTAACTAAACGCAAGTTTAGCAGAAAGTTAGGTACTTAACAGACCGAAGCAGAAGGCGTCCTACCAGCGCGGCGGTCAGAAAAGAACTGGCGGGATCTGCGTGCCCCTCCTTGGTCATGCGCAGTGGAGCCGGCGCGTGACCTGGGAGAGGCGCGAAAATCCCTTTTGCTAGCTACCGGTACCGAGAAGGTCAGCGCAGGTGCAGTATATCCCAAGGGTGTGATGCACAGAGACCACGAAGAAGATCTGTTAGATTCCCACCAAAGCTGTACCTATTTATCTACTTGCGATTTCTTGCTTTTGAACTGCTAGGTTGGCAGGAGCTGGGGCCAGAGACGGGAGCTCACTCCGTCATGCAGCACTCGGGTCTGAAACTGCTGAACTACCGCCCTTCTGGTCTGCAGCTCAGCGTCTTAATCTCTGAGCCACCGTGGCCCCAGTAGCACCTTAGAGACCAACAACATTTTAGAGGTATGAGTTTTCGGGACTGAAAGCTCCCTTCGTCACATACGAGCCCTTCCCTGACAAAGGAAGCTTTGACACTTGAAAGCTGGTACCCCAAAACCTTGCTGTTCTCTAAGGCGCTCCTGGATTCAAATCTAGCTGTACAGACTCATCGTTTCATAAATTAGTAACAGTGGGTGGATATTATTGCCAATACTCTATTAGGCAAGGTTGGCAGTTTCAACGTTTGTTGGGTAATTACACTAAGAAGAAGAAGAGCTGGTTTTATACCCCGCCCTTCACTACCCAGAGGAGTCTCAGAGCGGCTTACAGTCTCCTTTCCTTCTTCTCCCCACAACAGACACCCTGTGAGGTCGGTAGGGCCGAGATAGCTCTTCGAGAACTTTGACAAGGTCACACAGCTGGCTGCATGTGGAGGAGTGGGGAACCAACCCCGGTTCTCCAGATTAGAGTCTGCCAGTTTGGTGTGGTGGTTAAGTGCACGGACTCTAATCTGGGAGAACTGGGTTTGATTCCCCACTCCTCCACTTGCACCTGGCTGGATGACCTTGGGCAAGCCGTAGTTCTGATAAGAGCTGTCCTTGAAAAAGAGCCGTTTCTGTCAAGAGCGCTCTCAGCCCCACCTACCTCACCGGGTGTCTGTTGTGGGGAGGGGGAGGGAAGGGAGTTTGTGAGCCGCTCTGACACTCCGAGAGAAGGGCGAGGTATAAATCCAATCTCTTCTTCTTCTTCTTAACCACTACACCAAACTAGCTCTCTGGGAGATAAGAGTATCAGAGAGTACACCTATGCTTTATTGATTAGTAGAGGGAAGGAGGGTAAAAGCACAAATACAAATAAAAGCCCAAATTAAAAAAAATAAAGTTATTAATTCACATGACTGCCAGTGCAGGCCGAATCAAAACCAAAGCTAAAATTCTTGCGTATGTGCCTCCTCTCATGTGGCAGGAGGCATCGCGTAATCGTAAATCTGATATGGAACTAACAAGTAATGTAAATAGAATTATTAACTTTCTGGAAATTTAGAAGCAACCAAGAAAATCTGGGAAGAAACTGAAATACCATTTATGCAAGTACTCTCTTACTAAGTCTGACCTTATTTTTACTGTTCATAAAATGTCCCATTAACGATTTCGCTAGCCTACAAAATCATAGCATTTGGCATAGTTATGATGTTTTTCTTGGAATCTTAAGGACACTTCCTGGAAGAAAAGTCTCACTGAAGAACAGATCAAGATCCAATCTGATCATGCCCGCTGTTATCATTCTTCTTTCTGTATATTTGTTGTTTCTTGCAGGGGTCATTTCGTAGAAAAAGAGGTACAGGAGCTCATTACCATAACTTATTTGCATATGCCACACCCCCTGACATCACCGGAAGTGTGTCAGAAGGCAACACCCACTGATCAGGCTCCACTGGACTCTTTTGGAGTGCTAGTTACTGGGGGGGACGGGGACGTGCAGATCTGCCCTCGCAGAGGAGGGAGAGCTTGTACCTAAATAAAACTTGTTCTTAAAGGTGCCACTGGACTGTTTTGGATTGTTAGCTATGGGGGTGGGGGACGCACAGATCTGCCCTCACACAGATATGTGCAGAGAGAGAGAGAGGGAAAGAAAGGGAGAGACAGAAATAAGGAGGGAAAGAAGGAGAGAAGGAGGAAAAGAAAGAAAGGAATGAAAGAGAAAGAAAGAAGGAGGGAAAGAAAGAGGGAAAGAAAGAGGGAGAGAAGGAGCAGGAGGTGGGGCTTGTTGCATGTGCCTGCCCATATATATAGTTTATCTTCAGCCAGTGGTTTTTTGTGCTTTGTTCCTATCCTTGTACACTGGTTCCCCTTGTTTTTAGGTTTTCTGTCGCTATTATCATTCACTAGTTATTGTCATTCACCTGATATTGAATGATAATAGCTGGTGAATTGGAGAAACATCTGGAGCAGAAGTCCATCAGTGACTATTAGCCACAAGGTATAGATAGGGACTCTGGGGCAGGTGATGCTCTGTCTTCTTGGTGCTTGGGGGGGGGGAACAGTGGGAGGGCTTCTAGTGTCCTGGCCCCACTGCTGGACCTCCTGATGGCACCTGGTATTTCTGGCCACTGTGTGACACAGAGTGTTGGACTGGATGGGCCA